GATTCATTAATGAGTGAGTGAATAAATTGTAAGGAGTGGAGGTGGCCAGTGTATATTTTTGGTTTGTGGAAAAATGAGTGATGGCTTAAAGAGTACATGAGGCAGAGATTTTTATAGGTATGGGGAAAATATGAAGGAAACATTTTTATGGAGTTCCTCAGAGAAAGGCAGTGTGTTGCCATTATAGGAATTAATGGTCTAAGACTTGAAGGCAGGGAGTACATGGGCCTCATTACAGGAAATGAATAGAATTGTTTGTGGAATTAAGTTAAGAATAGTAATTGCTCACACAGCTGTTTTTAAATAGCAAATTGCGTTAGGTAATCAGCAAAAATCCACTGAAACATACTTGATAGTTATGCAGAAGTTGCTTTATTGGTACTGGCTTATGATCCTAATGGGCACTATAAAAACAAACAAACTAAAAAACTTTGCATGCAGTTTTTACAGTGGTACAATACTATATTTTGTTTGTTTTTTGGTGAAAGTACAGTTGTAATGTTTTCATCTTCCTTTTCCCACCACCAAACCCAAATATAACTGTCTTATTCAAAAGAACAAAAGCATGAACTTCAGGCTCTCACAGAGCAATGATGTGTGTTTTCATTGAAAGGAGTAGTATCTATTCGATTGCTTCTCTGTCTTTCTCCCTAGACAAAAATGGAATGCTTTATCATATGGTTGGATTTAGGTCCACTATTTTGTATTTTTCCTGTTTTTTCAATCTGAATTCTGTTCAGCTGTACTTTTGTTCTTTCTTTTGGATTTGGCTGTTTCTTAGGGCTCCATTTTAACTTGTTTTTTTTTAGTGATACCTCTGCTTTTTTAAAGCCTCTCTAAGGATGTTAATATACGTAATTAACTCTGAACAGTCTACTTAGAGTTAATATTGTATCACTTCACATAAAATGAAGACATTTTGTGACATAGATCAATTTACCCTGACCCCTGCCTTCCTTTGTGTTGTGTTTGTCAAATAACTTTTAAAGAAGTTAAAAAGAAAAAGTAAGCCTTTATATTTACTGTTTTGATGCTCTTTCCTCCCTCGAGAGTCAAGGTTTTCTCTGATAACATTTTCTTCAGCTTGAAGAGCCTCTTTTAGTATTTATTGTACTACAGTTTTGCTGGCAGCAAATAATTCTTAATTTTCTTTTATTTGAAAATGTATATCACCTGCATTCTTAAAGGATATTTTTGTTTGACCTACCTCTGCCCTGTTGCTTTGAAGATGTGTTTCCACATCTGCTAACATTCATAGTTTCTGATGACAAGTCTGCAATAATTTGAATTGTTGTTCTTTTGTATATATGATGTTTTTCTTTTTCTCCCACCAAGGTCTTCTCTGTATTTTTGGTTGTCAGAAGTTTGACTATGATGTGCATAGATTTGGGTTGACTTAGTGTCTTTAATTGGTAAATTTGTGTCTTACCACGTTTGTGAATTTTTTGGCCATTATATCTTCAATATTTTTCTACCTTGTTCTTTTTGTTGTCTCATTATGCCTATGTTATACTTTTAAATATCTTCTCTTATGTGTCTGAGGTCCTGATCATCTTTTAATCTCTTTTTTCTGTTTATCAAATTGAATTATTTCTTTGATCTGACATTAAATTTACTTTTTCTGTCATATCTCCATTCTTTTCTTAAACCCATACAATAATTACTTTTTAGATTTTAGATACTTTGCTTCCTTTTTTAAAAAATGATTATATTCATTTATTTTTAAAGAGAAGGGAAGAGCGGGAAAGAGAGAGAAACAGGGTGTGACTGCCTCTCATGCGCCCCCTACTGGGGACTTGGCCCACAACTCAGGCATGTGCCCTGACCAGGAATTGAACCGGCGACCCTTTAGTTCACAGGCCGGCACTCAATCCATTGAGCCACACCAGCCAGGGCTAGGTACTTTGCTTTCTAAAATTCCCATTTGTTATTTTGTCTTTTTGTCTCTGTGAAATTTTCAGGGTTTTTAATTTATTATGATCTTATATCCTTTACTTCATTTAACATAGTTATAGTATCTGCTTTAATGTCCTTGTCCTGAAAACCTGAGTAACTCAGTTATCTTAAGGTTGGCCTCTTAGTAATCTTTTCCATTGAGATTGGGTCACATTTCATTGTCAAGGAATGTCAGATTGTATTATGGATATTGTGAATGTTATTTATGGAAATTTAGGTTTCTTGTTATTCCGAAGAGTTGATTTCCTTACTTTAGTGAGCCATTAATTGAATTTGACTCAAAGTGAAAACTTTCTCTTACCTGTGGTTGGTAGCTGTTCAGATCTCAATTTGATTCTTTTGGCCTGAGCTGCAAACTGCCTTGGGCCTGCCCTTGTGAATATGTGCTCTAAGGCTCAGCTAAAAGACTTGGGTGGAGATAGAAGGGGAGACCCCCCCAAAAAAAAACACTGGAATTTATTTATTAAAAAATTGTGTATTTATTCTTATACCTATCGAGACCTTTTTTTCCCAGTGGTCAAAACAATTTTTGAACTTTTGATTTTGATGCCTTTAGGGCTTCTGCCATTTTTTGTTTCACCTCTTCCACATTGGCAGACTGTTTCCCTCTTGAGGACTTTTTTCATCCAGGAAAACAAAAAAAGTTGTTTGAGGCAAAATCAGGTCAATAGGGAGGGTAGGCCAGGGGGCCATGCCGTTTTTGGCCAAAAACTGCTGAACACAGCGCAGTGTGGTGTGGGTACATGTACTTGTAAATCACCCATCATGAAATGGGCAAACGTGTTGAGTCTTCAAAAAAAAAAAAGTACTAAAGCTGAACACAGCTTCTCACAACAACGCCAGCTGGTACACTGATACAGTTGGGTTCCTAGAATATTCTCCCAGTGGGGGAAGTCTGTATTACAAGGGGCTCACTCTACTGCAGATAATTCCAGTTTTCGGGGGTGAATTTGCTTTCCTATTTTTCTTCCTTTTGGGATTCTATCCTTACTTTTTGGAGGCTGTGGTTATGCTGGCTCTGTCTTCTTTTTCCTCAGGCCAGAAAGACAGTGGGTCCTCTATTGGAATTTTAGTTCTTGCCTGTTAAGGCTGCTGCTTGCCTTCAGGATAAAGCTTTAAGAATGGGAAACTTACCTGTGCTGACCTCTAAAAGCTGTTAAAAAGAGAAACTCACTCATTCTAATCTCTTCTTCCAAGTTTGCAATTCCAGCCTAAGTCAGCCTGGTTTTGTTCACTCTCGAGAACCTTTAGGTAGCTGTTTTATATTTATATCCACCTCTCCCCAAATTTGTAGTAACTCTCAGTAGGCACTTACTGCATTATATTGGAATTGAGTTCACTAGGTCAATTTTGAGATTTCCTCCAACATATTTATTTGCAAGCTGCTTTAAAAATAATACTCTTTTAAAATAGTAATTATTGGATTTTTTCTTTTTAACCCATCTTTATAGTTACTTAATTTTTATAACACACTCTTGTGTGAGTGCCCTCATTTTATATATTCTTAACTAATTAACCTTTTAATGCAGAATACTGTACTTTTTTTATGTACCAGAAAAACATAGAGATAAACAAGATATGTTGCTTATTACAAAGTTTTATTGGTAGGATATACATGGAAACAGTCATAGTGTTCAAGATATAGTAAGTACAAATTAATTTCTGAAACAGTGTGATTAATTTAGAATTAGTTGATGGAGAACACTTCCTCAGAGGAGGGCATTTGATCTTATGGTGATTCAAATTAGAAATTCAGTAGGTAGGGGGGAAAGATGAGGGGTAGATATTCTAGACTTAGGAAACAATAGGAATAGAATATAAATGTGTGACAAATCTTGGCATGTTTGGGGAGTGACTGATGTCTTGATGAGGCTGGAGTGTTGAGTTTTTGGTGAGTACTGAAGCTGAAAAGGGAAATTGAAGCCACCTTGCAGAATATTACGCTCAGGAGTGTGAATGTTATTCCTGAAGCAGCGGGGGATCACATTTGAGGAGTGATTGGATGTGATCCAACTTGTGTTTATGGCAAGATAAGTGTGCTGGCAATGTTAACTGCAGATTGGAATGGGAACATAATAGAAGAATTAGCAGTACACAGGATGTGATCCAGAGCACTGTATATGTGAAGAGAACACATTGGGATAGTTACTCAAAATATTGCTGAGGTAGAAATTAATACATGAATAACTGACTAAGGGAATACAAAAGAAGAGTGTTACCAAATTCAAGAGAATCATTAAATTTCTTACCACATTTGTAAATATCCCAACATCATGTTGAGTATATAAAACTTTTTTGGAACATTTCTTATTTAAAATTCCTTTTATAGCCCTGGACTACAGACTATGCTATAGCTAATACAAAGTGATTTTTCAAAGGGCACATGATTGAGGTCACTTCAAAGTAGTGGTACTTAAGGTCTGTGTGTGATTCTCCCACCAAGCCTAGTGAGGGTTTAGGTTTCTCTAAAACTTTTAAATAATTTTTGCTCTTTGGAGGTAGTTACTTGTCTAGTTCATAGAGTCATTTACAGTCTAACTGCTTCTTACTGGAATTTTCAAAATGCTCTTCAGCTATTAAGAATATTGGTTTTGACTATGTGTAAAGAGGAATGAGAAGCTAATGTAGGGAACCAGTTTCAGTCCCACTTCTGTTAATTGGATTGTATTATTTCCACTTTATACATTCATTTCTTCCACAAATATTTGTTAGTACCTGCTGTGTATCAGGCACTGTCTTAAGCACCAAACATATAGCAGTGAACAAACCAGATGACATTCTTCTTCTTTTTCTTTTCTTTTTTTTAATGAAGCTTTCAATGTATTGGGAAAAGACAGACAGTAAACCTTCTCCCATAGGATGATATTTGAACAAAAATCTGAAGGAAATTAAGGGAAGGGACCATTCAGATATCTGTGGGAAAGCATTTTATGAAGAGGAAAGAGCAAGTGGAAACGCCCTGAGGAGGAAGCATGCATGGTGTGTTTGAGAAAAAGCAGTGGGCCATGTTGCTGAGATAAAGTGATCTAAGAAAAAGCATAGTAGTGCTTGCTTCGGCAGCATATACACTAGAATTGAAATGATGCAGGGAAGATTACCTTGGCCCCTGCACAAGGATTACACGCAAATTTGTGAAGCGTTCCATATTTTTAGTGGGGGCAACTGTAATAGCATAAACAATAAAATATTTTTAAAAGAATAATTCTCTTATTAAAAAAAAGAATAGTAGGAGATGAAGGGAGAGAGGTTGCAAGCAGAACAGGTAAAACATTGCATACCAGTGGATTTAATTCTGAATGAGATGGGAAGCTAGTAGTAGATTTTGAGCATAGGATTGTCATGATTTGAGTTGTTTTTAAAAGGTCATTCCAGTTCCCATGTAGAGAATACAGACTGTAAGAGGGGCAAGAAGAAGGGAGATCCTTCAGGAGGCTATTGTAATAATAAAGGTCAGAGATGATGTGGCTTGGGCTGAAATGATCATGTTAAAAATAGTGACTCATAGGTCAGACTTTGGAAATGTTTATAAAGTGAAATCTAATGGGGTTGTACCACTGATAGACTGAGTAGGCAGATTATTTTGCTAAAAATGTATGTTGTGGCTAACAACAATAACACAATAAAATCACTGTTTGACAATTACTTTCAAAACTAAGAAAATTTCAAGAAAATAACTAAGCTACTTTCAAAATTAGTTATTTTCTTAATTAGCCATACCTCATTCTGCTGTACCTTGATACCAGAATATCCTTATCTGTAAACCTGTGTTCTCAGCAGTACCAAAAAGAAATTGTCATTGAATTTTAAAGGGTGATCTGAGAAAGTAAATTCTTCTCATCTTTTAACTGGTCTTACTGTCTTGGATGCTTAAAAAAAAAAAAAAATCAAACTTGTTTTTAACAGTTCATTGTACAGAATCTCAATTTTTATGAGTAAAAATTTCTCTAACCAATGTTATATATTTTATATGAAGCAGCATGGCCTAACTTTTTTAAAATTTCATTACAATTTTAGTATTTTCATAGCTTTTCTATTTTATTTGTTTCTCATTAATGTATAGCAAAGGAAAACCCAAAGGATTTGCTATTATATTCAATTGACCCTCCTTCACAGTGAATTTCTAGAAAAACACATAGGTAGATTTATTTCATGAGTATCAAACACCTGAAAAATACAATAAAAACGGTGGTGGTAGGGTTTTTTTGGTGTATATTATTTTGCAATTGATTGCAGCCTTTGAATCTTATCTAAAGGAATATCATTACTCCATAAATAAAACTGAGTAAAGAAACTATTGAAGAGCCACATTCAAAACTTTGGTCATCTGATAATAGCTATCTCCAATGAGATTTCTTAAATCATTGATTGAGTCACCCTATAACAGAGGGCAGTTTTGCAAAGTATATTGTCTTTCCCTGATTTATAGGTGTTGGGATGTGATTTTATTGTAGTGCTACCAAAGGCTCTGTGTGTGTGTGTGTGTGTGTGTGTGTGTGTGTGTGTGTGTGTGAGAGAGAGAGAGAGAGAGAGAGAGACAGACAGACAGACAGACAGACAGACAGACAGACATTGAGGGAGAGAGAGAGAGGTACCTCTACAATCCCCTGTGCTTTTACTCCCAACTTTATATGTTTCTTTCCCACAGAGATAGACTTGGGCATGATGTTAAGTACAGTGGCTATTAACTTGTTTTTCTTACCAGCTTTGCTTCAGGGCTGTTCTAGCTACTCTTCTCTCCATTCTTTGTATCATTTTTCTTCTTCCTTTCATTCCTTCTCAGCTCACTAGACTCCCTACTAGTACTGTAATATTTTTCCAATTTCAGACCTGTTTCTCACTTTACCCTAGTGTCTTAGTCTGGGGTGGCAGATTTTTTTGTTATAGGTCTGGCAGTGGCAAGTGGAAAAGGAAGGAACTGGTCTGAAGCTTTGCTCCTCATTTATGCCTTTTACCTCCAGGCAGGTCTTGCCTGAACCTCACCAAACCTTGAGTAATGCTTTATGTACACAAACTCTACTTTTGGAACCCATATCAGGGGAAGCAGGTATGCACAGCATACAAAAGTCACTCTCCCCCCCAAAAAAAATCTGTTTCCAGTTTTTGCTAATGTTAAAAACCTGCAGAAGTCTGTAGGACTCTGCTTGAAGAATGAAAGAACGGATAGGATAGAAGCTGTGAGAGAATTTTATGACTGACTCAAAAAAGAAAACACTTTTGGTCAAAAGCTAAAGATGGTGGAATTGGAAAGGAAGCAGATAGACTATAACCAAGTTCTTCATAGAAAAAAGAGTAATGCCAGATGTTGAACTTTGCCAAGAAGTTTTTTTGCCTGTCCAGGGGTCTTGCTCTCTGACACCTCAAAAACTTGGTTTCTACATTTCATTCCTTCTCTAGGGGTCCCTCTGCCTCTTAGGGAATTGGCTGTATATGTAGTAATTTATGATTTGCTTTATTACTTTCTCTATTAAATGTTCTACAAAAGAAGGAAGCAGATTATTTCATTGAATTTACAAACCATTATTTTCAGAGATAAGATCTAACATTTAATGTTCTTTACTGGAAAATATTAAATAAAAATAGTGTGCCTTTTAAAAGGGGACACACGGACTCAAAATGTATACATTGGATTTTATTTAATACAGTCAATTCAGAAAAGCATATATTTAAGAGATTGTATAAAAGATTAAGAAAGAGTCATTTTAATCTCTGTATTAATTATTCATTAACTCTTTTAATCTTACTGAGTAGGAATAGATTAGATTAGAATAGATTAGATTAATATTTTAGAAAACTAAGCAAGACAAACCCTTTCTACCACTTAATTATTGGTAAACTTTCTCTTACATCTACCAGTTTAATCTGTCAATTATAGACCTGGCTTCTCTAAAATTGAATTGGTTTAGATAGACTGGAAATGGGAAGGAAAGAAAATATTTGGCAGTGATTTTTAGATGCATCTTATTAGAAATGTTTTCTCTCCTAATTACTGTAATTGTAACTATTGTGTGTTTTGGTGTTGATAAGTAGTTTTTCAGATTTTGATCAATATGAATAATTTCTGTATTAAGCTTATTTTCTGTGTGTAGGTTTTTTTTCCTGTTTACTTTAATCTTATGGCTGAAGCTTTGGAAGGTTTATTATTCCTGTCATAGTTCTGTGTTTGTACAGCCATTGTGTTCAGCAGAAAGGAGTCATTCATTGATGGTTAAATATGACTCTTGCCTTTGTCAGTGCCAGCCACGACCTTCTATTCAGAGTCTGGATATGTTAACAATAAAACTATAGAGCTCTGAGTCTAAAACCTAGTCAGATCCTTGTTATTCTATAGCATCCTTTGAACCCCCTACTATGTCCAGTTCTATTGATGTGTAGCATTCTTTAGCTGGTGGCTTAATTAGTTACCATTTTATTTAATTAATCTTTCCTCTTCCTTCATGCTATGGAAGTAATCACTATCACTTGATGAAAATTGATTATGTGTTTTTACAGAATTTCATGCATCTCTTTTAAATTTTGTTTGAGATATTTTCTGTAGCAGGCACACATCTTTTCTATATTCTCTTTTACAAATGTATTTAAAAAAACACAAAATCCTCATATTTATTAATCATTTGATATAAGACAGTTCAGTCCTAAGTCATGAAAATTATGGTCAGGTTATTTTCATTAGGATGAGATCGTCAAATGAATTTCCATTATATGTTATTAATGTTCAATAAAAGTATGATTTCCCCCACATTGTTCATCCCCACCAGTCTATTTTCTATCTCTGTGAATTTGACTATACCTTATGTGAATGGAATCATACAGCATTTGTCCTTTTGTGACTGGCTTATGTTTTAGCATGTGTAAGAATTTCCTTCTTTTTAAAGGCTGAATATTCCATTGTATGTACACCACATTTTGTTATCCATTTATTTTTTGACAGACACTTAAGTTGCTTTCACCTTTTGGGTATTATAAATAATGCTACCATGAACATGGGTGTACAAATATTTGAGATCTCTCTTTCTCAATAGAATCTTTTGTATTTTACTTTGGCTTACCTTATATAGAAAATATAAAAAAATCTTACCTTATATAAAACAATAATTGCAAATGGAAAGTATGTTTTTAAAAAGAAACAAACGTCATGTAAGTTTGTCTCAAATCGGGTCTCATAATTCTGTGTGCTGATATATAGTGTTGATTGTGAAGAAAATGCTTGGAAAATAGCCCACAGGTGATAGATGGTACCAAAGTATGATTTTATAAGATACTTCCCAAAATTTTAGAATCTTTCTTAAATCTAGAATTTCTGTAAGAATTCCCTAAGAATGAACAAAACATTTTGTATTTTTATACATAATCTCTGTGTCTTCAAAGCTTTGGGTTCACTTGAAATTGTGCCTGGAGTATAGTCTGTAGTTCAGTACCCATCATTTCTTTACACCGTTTTTAAAAACTTTAAAAATATAGATATGTCACTTGATACAGGAAGTACAGATTAATTAAAAGAATTAATTAGGGTCGTACTAGCTGATTAGTAGCTAATAGACTGTACTTTGGGAACTGACTTCCCTTTCCTTACTTTTTGTCACTTAACCCTTCAGTTGATAATTCAGTCCCTATGAAAGAGCTTTGGGAATGCTGACTAGTTATTGGACATTTTGGGGGCATTTAACTAACTATACATCACTTTCTCATCTAGATCAGAGGACTTACAGGAATTTATACTTTTAAGAAAAAGAGCTTCTAAACTTTGTAGAAAGTTTCTTTGCAATATCTATAGAGTTTTTTCATGCAAGACTGAAAAAAAAAGGTCAACTATTTGTATTTTGTCATAAAAAGAAATTCAGAAGTGCTTGGTAAAGTATACCCTGTTAGGAATCAAGGATGAAACAGACTGGTCCTCAAAACAGAAAAGGAAGAAATGGCTGGATTGAGAGATCTCCAGCTCTTTCAACTTTTCCTGGGGACTGACTGGAAAGTGAAAATAGTGGAACTAAAGCTTCAGAAGGTACATTCAGGAACACAGTGAATTGTTTTGTTGCTAACAATAACTGACCCTTTCTCCTTTTGACTTTTGCAGTTTTCATAAAAGTGGATCTATTCATTTGGATTCAGATTTCAGAGAAGATTTTACTAGTACGAGTTATCATGTCATATTTG